AGCGGGGAAGTTGTAACGACCCCACTTCCAACCGAGGGCGACTCCGGAAGCAAGGAAGACAGCAAGAGCAAAGAGAGTCAAGAATCTGGAAGCAAAGAAGGTAGCGACAGCGGAGAGAGCAGCGGGGAAATTGTAACGACCCCACTTCCAACTGAGGGCGACTCTGGAAGCAAGGAAGACAGCAAGAGCAAGGAGAGTCAAGAATCTGGAAGCAAAGAAGGTAGCGACAGCGGAGAGGGCAGCGGGGAGGTTGTAACGACTCCAGTTCTTCCAACGGAAGATTTCCCAGTTTCTACGGAGTTACCTACATCATCTACTATTCCTACCGAAATCGATTGTCCTATTGGAAATTTGACTGCCGATCAAATAGTTTTAGTTTGTCCTACAGGTTTCCGACGTCATCCAAAATACTGCAATGTTTTCTATCAATGTACAACAGTAAACAAGGTGGGCGTGAAAGTTGTCGTATTTACCTGCCCAGATGGCACAATTTTTGATGAGACAAAAAAACAATGTGTGAATGAAAATAGCGTTTACCAAACGCGTCTTCCTGGATATTCCGATTGTATAAACTTCATTTCTTATGCTCAAGCTATATCAAAATCAATTGTAAGTATAATATAGTATTAGCATTCTTTATTTATATGTATATGTCATTCTACGTATTCTAATTAATTTGTCGAGAGTTTTAAAGATGATTATATATATTACTTTCCTTTCAATAACATCCGAGCAGAAACATTTTTTTATTTTATAAGACTATTTAATTTTATAATGCAGCTGTCAAAATAGTTTTTTATTTGTTTGAAATTTTTGTGAGATACATAATTGTTTTAAAATTATTCAGTTTTTAATTTTTATTTTTGGTTGACAGTAATGTTCTATTTTATTTAATACATTCTGACGTTTTAGATATTCTTTTACGATTTATAATTGTAACTGTTTCTATCAAAAATTTAAAATTAAACTTGTAAAATTTTTATAAATGTAGAATCTAATGAAAGATTTGATATTTGATTAAACGCGCGGGACGAACTGCACATGCATATGTATCTATTTATGAAAATAATCGAATTTATAATTAAAAATGTGATATATTTTTTGACAAGTAATATACTTTTTACATAGTATAATTTTTTGAAAAATTTTTAATTTGTAGTAGTATTACATAATTCTTAAATGTTAAGACTAAATTTACATTTATGGGATATAAATTTTATATAAATTTAATTATTATTTTTTCAGCTGAAAGCTCCCACAAGAAAATTATGTCCAAGAACAGGTCGTTTTCCTTATAATAAGGGTTGTTCCAATGCGTACTATGAATGCCACCGCGATGCACATGGTGCACTTCAAGGATATCTCTTTAAATGTCCAAATGGAGGGACATTTTCAAGTGTTTCAAGACGTTGCGAACGTACTGAATGTAATTCAATATGCAACGTATCTTGCAAACAGAGAAACAACACCAGCATAGATATGAACATACAGCACGCGCCATCTAAAGGCGTGTATGTTACTCATCAAGAAATGTTTTACGTTGGTCTTACATCACCCCCGTCTTATTCCCAAGAAGATAAAGATCATCTCAAAGAGTGATTTGATTTCTGTATGTACTTTTATCAATACAGTTATACAATAAAATAATTCTTGTGCAAAAAGTCATCTTAAAAATTTAAAAACTTTAGTCTCTACTGTGTTCACTCCTCGTAATTAAAAAAAATTTCATGTCCAATCTCATTCTCCAATTTCATGGAGAGCATAAAATCATTTCTATTTTTCATACTAATATAAGGAATATTTTTTACTTCATCATGTATCCAGTATATATAAAAGAACTCTTAGGCAAATATATATCAACTTTTCTGGGATAATAATATATCTCTTTTTATCGACGTACGTTTCTTATAAAAACGGAATATATGTATTTATATAAATTCACAAATTTAATATAAAAATAGCTATTATTATATCGTTATATAAGACAGATTAGTTCTCTCTTTTATTTTTGCATTTTTTTCATATCGTATATTATATTTATTACGACCATTTATCTTTTGCTAACAAAATTAAATTTGAGGGGTATAGTGATATAGTGAGTAATATAGAAATTACGCTAAATTCAAGCGAACATAGATTAGTAGCGGTAATGATTGCATCGATTCTATTGATGCAAGTTTCATAAAATATTTTTATCTTGATGAAAATGATTTCTACTACGTCACACATTCTTTCAATATTTATGAAAAATCGCCGAGAACATTACATATAATACATAAATATACATAAAAAGGCTGTAATTTCTCGATATAAGCAAAACAACTTGATAAGTTAGAATCCTCGTGTAGTTACCCTCAGTGCAGCCAAAACCGTCGATAATATCAATGTTCTTCGATCATATCGAAATTTCTCTAGTCCATTTGAATTTATAGTTATCGAAAAATTATCAAAAAACCGATCATCTTTAATAATATCATCAGTAAGATAAAAATAGTAGTGAAAATAATGACATCAGTTATTGTAAACGGAAAGAGAATCGTGATAAGTGCGACATCAAGTGACAAGACCCCAAAGTTTTATACTTCTTCATCGACTATCATGTCTGTCGATTATATGCATCTTTAATTTACGTCTAAAATTATTATTTATTATATAGTAGAAAAAGCTTTCACACACACAGAAGCTAAGACTTTTTATATAATACACGATCAAATCAAATATTATCCACATATCGTCAAAATAAAGTGAAAAGCCAAACTACATTTTCTCGAAGTAAAATTTATTTAAATTCATAAAAAGCATGTTCTTTTAAAGATTTATGTAATTTATTACGTAAACTTATTACGTTAATTATTACGTGAATTTTTTGTACTTTAGTCGCAGGTGTTCGCGCATCGGTGGCGCGAAAGAAAAGGGAAAAAACTGACGAGTACACGCTACAAACAATGAGAGCGTCGTCCATTCGATGCTGCCTAAGTGGCGTAAAATTCACCCTTTGCGAAACGAGCACCGTGCGTATAAAGTCGTTGTATCAAGACAAAATATCGATAATTTATATCGGTATCGGTATAGGAAAAAAGGAATTACCGATGTTCTATACATATAAAAGAAGAACGTATCGATACGTTTAAATGCATGGCTTTCAAAATGAACTCTATGTTACTGTCTAACGATAGTTTCCAACGTATCTAAAATTTTATTTAATTTCTCGAAGCCGTTGCGCAGCTTAGAGTAACTAAGAAAAGAGATTTTTGACAAAATAAATTGGACGTCAACAAAGAATTGTTATATAAACCATATCGATGTATCGCAAGCGTCTGCAGAACGGGGCGGCTCCGCCGGTTCCACGGTCGCGGCGCGGCGCGGCGCGGCGGCGTGGCGTGGCGTGGCGTGGCGCGGCGTGGAAAAGCTCGCGGGCGAATTTAGCGTTGCGACGGGGAGCACGAGGCGGCCGCGGACCACACGGGATAGAACGGCTGACTCCAATCAATAACGCTCGTCGCGCGAACGCGACGGACGGAAGCGAGAGCGCGGCGGCGGAGGCCCGCGCGCGCTCCGGCTCCGACTCCGCGCAGCCGAGCTTTCAGTCGGACGCACGCTCGCGTCTCGCAAGCTCGGTGCGTCGGTTCCGCGCGCGGTCACCGTGAGGGCACACGTCCACCCGCACGTAAGCGCGCACCCCCGGCCCGGCGGCGCGGCGCGACGTGGCGCGGCACGGGGATCGCACCCTGGAAAGGTGGAGTAGCGTCTCGGGCGGCAAAATGGCGGCCGCGGTAAGAAACAAATGATCGGGGTTAGCGAACGGCGGTGCTGAGAGACACGGCAAGGGCCGTCAGGCACCCTCTCGGCGGTTCCTCCCGATTGCGCGACCGGGATATCCGTAATATCCGGCGCGGCTGAGCGACGAGGGTAGAAGATCGCGCGGCGAGCGCGACGCGCGTTCCACCCCTTCCGAGGGACGCGGGACCATCGTAGGGAGGATCGGTCCGATTTTCGAGTCACGAGGGTGGTCACACGAGGGTTCGTCGCGGGACGCTGGTCGCGTGCGGGCCCGTTGACGTGTGAGCGTGATTCGATTATCGATCACGGATCCGCGCCGGCGGAAGAACGAAGAAGCGCGCACGGGAGCGCGAGAATGCTCGCGGAAGAAGCGACGTGGAATTCGGCTGCGAGGCACGGGGTTGGGACTGCGGGAAACGGTGCCGGTTCGATAG